TACTACTACTACTGCTACTACTACGACTAATACCACCACCACTACTACTACTACTACTACTACTACTACTACTACTACTGCTACTTCTACTACTACAGCTACTCAAAGTACACTTAACACTAGTACTAAAACTACCACTGCGACTACGACTACGACTACGACTACTACTACCTCTACTACTACTACTACAACTACTACTACTACTACTACTACTACTACTACTACTACTACTACTACTACTACTACTACTAACTACTACTACTCTACACTACTACTACTACTACTACTACAGCTACTACTACCTCTAATACTACTACTACTACTACTACTACTACTAACTACTCTACGACTAACGCTACTACTACTACTAACTATACGACTACTATACTACTACTAATACTATTACTAACTCCTATCCTTAATTCCTTATTAGAATATACTCCTACTCCCCCCTCAGGCCGGCCATTAGGGGCCGCATCCGGGGGGTCCCATCCTAACCTGTAAAAAAACAATACAAAATCAACATTTTTCTTATTTTTTCCTCTCGACATGGACGTCCTGTCGTCCACGGCGATAATCCATTGCAAAAAAATACCACAAAGAGCGCACGCGCGCGTTCATGTCAGAATCCTACCGAACACCGTGTGTTTGCAAGCATTTCAACATAAAAACATCAAAAACCCAATGCCTTTTCACAAAAATTGTACAAATTTCCCGCCCGGGCTCTCTTGCTGAAATCATAGGAAAACCATAGGAATCTTAAGAATTCGGTCAAATCCAGCGATTTTTTTTCCCAAAATTCACTATCTCAAAGGTCACGCGCGGTGCACTCGCGATGCTCTGTCATGCTCCCAGGCCGCGAATCTTGTGCAACAAATACCACAAAGAGCACACTCGCGCGTTCATGTCAGAATCCTACCGATCTCGAGCGCGAAAGATACCCGTACCCTTACCCAGACGGGGTGGCAAAGGGCCCTCGGGGCATCACCCCCCCTGGGTCCGGGTCGGCTCCCGAAACCACCATACATACCCGTACCTAGACGGGGTGACCCAACCACCACCCCAGCTAGGTCCGGGTATGTATGGTTGTTTCGGGCACCGACCCGTACCCAGACGAGGTGGCGGCCAGGCCGAAAACGCTCTAGCGGGCGGCCCTTTTCACCCCAGCTGACCCCGGGTCCGGGTATGTTTTGGGCTAGTGACCCGGAACACCGTGTGTTTGCAAGCATTTCAACATAAAAACATCAAAAACCCAATGCTTTTTCACAAAATGCTTTGGGGTGTCCTGTCAGACCGTCGGGCTTCCTCCGGCCACCTCTGGCTTCCTGCGGTGTACCGGGCCATTCTCGACTCGTCTGGCAATGCGTGCGCGGCATTCAACACGCGCTCGCCAGTTCCCGTCGGCAACCGCCATCGCGGCCGCATCAGCTGTACCAAACCGTCTGGCCGGTGTGACTTCGGCCCCCAGTTGTGCCAGCTTTGCTTCTTATGTTGTGGGAGGGCGGGTGGGACTGGGCATGCCATGCTTGACTCGCTCGAGCTGGCTAGCTTGTCTCCTATCCTTATTCCTTATTAGAATATACTCCTACTCCCCCCTCAGGCCGGCCATTAGGGGCCGCATCCGGGGGGGTCCCATCCTAACCTGTAAAAAACAATACAAAATCAACATTTTTCTTATTTTTTCCTCTCGACATGGACGTCCTGTCGTCCACGGCGATAATCCATTGCAAAAAAAATCCACAAAGAGCACACGCGCGCGTTCATGTCAGAATCCTACCGAACACCGTGTGTTTGCAAGCATTTCAACATAAAAACATCAAAAACCCAATGCTTTTTCACAAAAATTCTACAAATTTCCTGCCCGGCTCTCTTGCTGAAATCATAGGAAAACCATAGGAATCTTAAGAATTCGGTCAAATCCAGCGATTTCACGTCATCGCGCGGTGCACTCGCGATGCTCTGTCATGCACCCAGGCCGCGAATCCTGTGCAAAAAAAACTACAAAGAGCACACTCGCGCGTTCATGTCAGAATCCTACCGAATACCGTGTTTTTGCAAGCATTTCAACATAAAAACATCAAACACCCTATGCTTCTTCACAAAAATGCTTTGGGTGTCCTGTCAGACCGTCGGGCTTCCTCCGGCCACCTCTGGCTTCCTGCGGTGTACCGGGCCATTCTCGACTCGTCTGGCAATGCGTGCGCGGCATTCAACACGCGCTCGCCAGTTCCCGTCGGCAACCGCCATCGCGGCCGCATCAGCTGTACAAAACCGGCTGGCCGGTGTGACTTCGGCCCCCAGTTGTGCCAGCTTTGCTTCTTACGTTGTGGGAGGGCGGGTGGGACTGGGCATGCCATGCTTGACTCGCTCGAGCTGGCTAGCTTGACTCCTACTCCTACTCCTACTCCGTATTATCTACTCCTACTATAATAATAATATACTACTACTACTACTACTACTACTTACTACACTTACCACTACACTACACTACCCACTACCACTACCACTACCACTACCACTACCACTACCCACCACTACATCCCATACCACTACTACTACTCCTACTCCACTCCGCCTTCCCCTGCTGCTTACGCTACTCCTACTCCTACTCTACTCCTACTCCTACTCCTACTCCTACTCCTACTCCTACTCTAATCCTTATCCTACTCCTACTCCTACTCCTACTCCTTATCCTACTTCTAATCCTTACTCTACTCCTACTCCTATCTACTCTACTCCTATTCCTATCCTACTCCTACTCTATATACTCCTACTCCACTCCTACTCCTACTCCTACTCATACTCCTAATCTACTCCTACTCCTACTCCTACTCCTACTCCTACTCCTACTCCGACTCGACTCCGACTCCGACTCCGACTCGAATCCGACTCGACTCCGCGCTCGACCGACTCCGAATCCGACGGACTCGACCTCCGACTCCGACCCGACTCCGACTCCGCTCCGACCCGACTACCGACTCCGACTCCCGACTCGACTCGACCTCGACTCCGACTACTCCGACTCCGACTCCGACTCCGACTCCGACTCGACTCCGACTCCGACGACTCCGACTCCGACTACGACCGACTCCGACTACGACTACGACTACGACTACGACTACGACTCGACTACGACTACGACTTACGACGACGACGACGACGACGACGACGACGACGACGACGACGACGACGACGACGACGACGACGACGACGACGACGACGACGACGACGACGACGACGACGACGACGACGACGACGACGACGACGACGACGACGACGACGACGACGACGACTACTACTACTACTACTACTACTACTACGACTACTACTACTACTACTGCTACGACTACTACGACTACTACGACTACGGCGACCACCGCTGAATACAGCGACCACAACTGCAACTACTGCTGGATACGGCACTGCGACACCGACACTTCGGCACTGACTGCGACGCTATGGCCATGACTGATGAACTGAGACAACAACTACTGATACGCTTGCAACTAATGGCGCTGCGGCTGCGACTGCTATGAAGTTGCTCCTGTTACTTGCTTCTGTTCCTATGCAGGAAGGACCGGGTCGACCACGGAGCCGCCCGTCGGTACGAGCCGCGGGTGACAATGCCCCCCCTCCGACGTCACGCCGTTGTTCCGTATGATGCTGGATCACGGGGCTCTCAACCCCCTTCCCTTTTCTGGGACTGGTTTCTCATCTGTCGTTATGTGAAGGCCCTGGGATCGTGGAGCCCCAATCAACTGAAAACAACATGTTGTCATGATGTATGGTGCGACGTCCTAGATCTCAGGGCCCTACTCCTCCCGCAAAGGCCTCTCGAGCTTCCGTCGTTCGACGCGGGCGAAGGGGGGAGAGGGGGAAGGGGGAGGGAGGAGGAGGAGGAGGGGGAGGAGGAGGAGGAGGAAGAGGAGGAGGAGGAGGGGGGGGAGGAGGAGGGAACTGGGAGGAGGGAGCTGGGAGGGAGGGAGGAGGCGGAAAAGTGGGGGAGGAGGAGGAGGAGGAGGAGGAGGAGGAGGCGGAGGAGGAGGAGGATGCGGAGGAGGAGGAGCAGGAGGAGGAGCAGGAGGAGGAGGAGGACGAGGAGGAGGAGGACGAGGAGGCGGAGGACGCGGTTGGCATCAGTAGCACACAATTAAATGGCCACGGGGCCTGCCACATGCCCTGCCGCAGGCGCTGCCTTCTGTATTTCTTACATGTAATGAGTTACGCGTTTTCGTGTTTTTTAACGCTGACGTTCACACGAATGCGAGAACCTGTGCTGCCAATGGGTCTTGACCACAGTGCACAAAGCGCTTTTGCAGGATCGAGTTTCAACTGGAGATGTAGATAGGCGGGGGCACGTGAGGGCGGATGTGGAAGAGGGTTGCACTGGATAGGTGGAGGCGTGATGTTGGAGACGAGTGGGTGGAGCGGGATAAGTTGGAGGTCGGGGTGAAAGGGTGGAGGCGAGAGGAAGGGGTAAAGGCCCTTGAGAGGAGGTGGAAGGAAGGATACGGGAAGGTGGCCTCAGTGACATTACTTCATTCCTGGACGAACTGTCGGGGCAGCAGCAGGATTCAGACGTCCAATCGCTATGATTCCCACCGTCGTTTACCTACCTGCTGCTGCTGCTGCTGCAGCTTCTTGGCTGCTTGCTTCATTACCTACCGCTGAGCTCCGTGCATGCTGGTGCCAAGCTAGGGCGGTCTGGACGGCGACGGAAAACCTGAAGGATGGAGGGTGGTAAAATGATGGGGTGGATAGCCGGGGATGGAAAGTGGACTTTATGGCGGGATCTGGAGGATGAGAGGACATAGGGTAAGTTCGGGGACGAGGGGCTCTCCAGCCGCTGGCACTAAAATGAAATCCTTCAGAGATGCTGAACCGAAGCAGTAATATGGTTAGATCCCGGCTGAGCTCTAGGTATTCCCGTACACTACCCACACACACATCTGCAATAATGACACGTGTTACGTCTTACCTAACTAACTTAAGAACTGTTCCTACTTCGGCTCTGCTGTACATTTCTTCAATGGGGGCGCCAAGGCCAGAGGCTTGGCAGGCGCCTTCTTGGCCTTGGTCTGCTCACTGGCAGGCGCCCCTGTCGCGCTGGCGACAGCTGCGTCGCCGCACTCGGCGGCCTGGGCGATGCCCATCGCCTCGCCCAGCTTCTGGGGCAAGTCGCTCTTCTGCACCCCCAGCCTCTCGAAGACGAACTTCTTCGACTCTAGCTTGCCGTCGCCCGTCAGGGTGGAGTTGGCGAGCACGATGGCGCCCGCCAGGAGTGCGCTCTCCTTCGCAACCGTTCTGATCCGATCCATGCTCGCTATGACCTGGTCCAGCGTCTTCAGCTGGTCATCGTTCAGCCAGTAGAGGGACGTGCGGGAGCTCTGCGGCTCACCGAAGATGCGCCCGGCATGGGGCACGTTCTGCACGAACGCGGCAACACTCTTCATCTCTGCGTCCCTCACTGGGTCTTTCTGGCTCGGGCTCAACCACAGTTTCTTCTCGCCGTCGCCCTCTGCACCGAAGCTCCAAGACGATATGATCGACATGATCTTCTCTCCGCCCTCGCCGTATTTCAAAAGGAACGCATCCAAGGGGGCCGTGTTCACACTCTCCACCGCGTTGTTGAACGTATCTGACCACTCGGCGATCAGTTGCACCTTCCACTCGGCCAGCTCGCCCTTAGACGAGACTGGCTCCGCCATGCTGGAGTAGGACGTCAAGTCGTTTGTCAACTGGACGGTGCCGACCACCTTGCCAGACAGCTTGGACTCCATGACCTTCTTGACCTGGAAGTAGGCCTGCATCGACCCGACGAGAGGTCCAATGCCAGGAGGCATGGCCCCACTCCGATCGGTTGCCGTCTGGAGGAACTTCGGAGTCACCATGCAGCAGTTCTCGGACGCTGCCACCTGCTTGACAAGGCTCATGATCGGAGTGCTGATCGGGCATGTCGAGATGGACGCGTTGAATGACTCGAAGCCTGCCGCCCAGCTGCTCATGTCGGCGAGTTGCGGCGCGCATGCAATGGCACCTTCTCGCAACCAGAGGTCGCTCCACATAGATATCGCGCTCTCCATGGGCTTGCTCGAAGATCGCATCTTCGTCTCGTTTGCGTCGACGACTAGCTCGGCCCGAAGCTTCGCCTCCTGGACTACCGCCCTCTCGGGAACCCCGATCTCGAACTTTAGGATTCTCTTCGCAATCTCGGAGAAGAGCCTGAAACAGTCGGCGCCCGATGCCGTCCCGCTGGTGTCCCCCGCGCAACAAGCGGACGCGGCATAGACGTTCTCGAGATTGTCCGAAAAGCGGTCGTAGTAGGCCAGGATCTCCGTCATTGCATTGCCAAGCGCTTCCAAAAGCTCGTTCTTCAAAGAGATGAGGGTGGATGATTCCTGAGAGGCCTTCTCATCGTCGAAGCTGCCCATGTATTTAGCAAAAGTGTCGATCTCCTTAAGCCTGCCATCAATATCCATGACGGTCCTGCTGACTACCTCGAATAACTTCTCGACTGAGGCCCCATTGTCCCCGCTGAGGAACGTCTTGATCTCGGCGCAAATCGTGACCATCATCTGTTGGGCGGTGGAGTCGAGAGCAACACCTTCCGATGTGCCAGCGAATTCAGCGAAGGGCGTTTGTTCCCACGCTGCGCGAGCCCAGTTGGTACTCCCAGCCCCAACCCTGATGAGACAACGCAGTCGATTGCTCAGCTTCTCTTTGTTCGCGTGCACCCTCAGCGCCTCGACCCGCAAGTCCCGAGGCAACTTCTCCCTCGCATCGACGGCCAGCACCTTCCCGAAAAATCGCACGGCATTCAGGTCGGCAATGACAAGAGGCAACCATCCCGTGGAAGGGTCTATCTTGGCGCTGTCGATGTCCAGGGCGTTGATGTCACATTCGCCGATGATCCCGTCGCACGCGGCCATGAGCGCCGAAAACTCCCCCTTGGATATTCGCTTCAGGGCTTTATCGGCGAATGATTGAATGTGATTATGCTGGCAATTCGCAAGGAACTCGTCGTCGTCGCCGATGCCGGTGCTTCCGAACGTCGCCATCTTCAGGGCCAGCGCGCGGGGGGCGGGGCCCGTCTGCCCTAGCAGAGCGCAGCAAATTGTGGAGGCCATGTTAGACTTCAGGGGGACGTCGGCTTGCTTCAGGACGTCCACTAGAACTTTGGGGACCTCCGTCGATATGGCCACCTCTGGGGGCGTCTTCAGCTTCTCGAAGCAATCTCTCGTCTCCTCAAGTCGCACTCCAGTCCTGAACAACTGGTCCGAATCTTCTGCCGACTCGTCGATCATCGAACTCCCGACCGTGTTCGCCTTGGCGGTCAACCTGGGGGGGCGGGGCTGAGCGGGGGAGGATGAGGAATGCGGAGGAAGATATAGAGGACAAGGAGGGGGATATGAGGATGCGGAGAAGGAGGATGACGAGGATGAGATGAGGACAATGAGGAGAGGACAAGGAGGGGGAGGATAAAGAGAGGGGGATAGGGAGGAGTGCACAATTAATGAGAGGAGGAGGGCAAGGAGGAGGAGGAGATAGAGGACAATGCTGATTTTATAAGGGCGAGGAGCCAGGAGGGGCATAAGGTTAGGATGGGAGGTGAAAGGATAAGGATGATGAGGACAGAGGACATAGAGGACGAGGGCCAAGGGCGAGGAGGAGAGGGTGAGGCGGAGATAGAGCCCGCAAGCAAGCAAGCAATTACCCATGGAGTCCTGGTGCAGAGCAGTGCAGCGGTCTGACGTTAAGTTACCGACGCGAGTCAACTGACCACCTGTTTTTTTGTGTCTGGCCGCAAGGGCCCTCGCGGCCAGAACAATAGCCCCGCGGAAAGGCAGCTAACGCACAGGTGCATATATAGCAAGCGATGCAAGCAAGCGAGCAAACAATCACTCATGGAGTTCTGGCGCAAAGCAGCGGTCTGACGTGAAAACGCTACCGTTGCGACTAATCGGACCACATGTTTTGTTCCTGGCCGCAAGGGCCCTTACGGCCGAAACAAGCCCCACGGAAAGGCAGCCAACGCACAGGTGGAGAGGGCAAGGAACAGGAGAGAGAGAGAGAGAGAGAGAGAGAGAGAGAGAGAGAGAGAGAGAGAGAGAGAGAGAGGGGGCAGTGAGGAGGAGGAAGAGATAAGAGATAGAAGTGAAAGGTAGGAGATGATGAGGCTAAGGGCGATGACGAAGAGGAGGATGTGGTAGAGGGGGGCGAGGTTACGCTTGGCCAACCTCGTGAGCAAGTTCTCGAAGTCGCGCTGCCTGTACCGCTTGCTCCACAGGTTCGCCACCCTCCACGTGGTCTCGACATCGTCGAGGACGGCCTTGCCTGACTCCACCAACGTCTCTGGAGGCCCCCTCTGCGTCTTCCTCGAGCTCGGCGCGTCCTCGGCATCCTTGGCATTCCTGGCGGGCGGCGTCGGTGTGCCATGTCCACTCCGAGGAGACCCAGGCGCCTCGCCCGCGCTCTCGCCGAAGGCGCTGGCCGTCATGCCGAAAGGCCTCTTGCGCGAGGCGCCGCCGCCGCTGCTGATGGACTGGACGTCGAAGTTGTCACTTGCTTCGCTGCGATCAGAACCAGCGCCCGAAGCGGAGGAGGGCAAGATGGAGAGATCCTGCGACTGGCACTGCGACTGCGAGCCACCACGTGATGCCTGAGGCGGCGGCGCAATCATCGGGGCAATGCCGTTGTCGGTTGAGAGGGTGCCCTCCTCCGCGTCGTGCTCGGCAGCAGACGTGACGTCGTGGACGCCCTCCTTGCTCCGCATGTCCGCGCTGTCCTCCAAACCCTGGTCGACGGCTGACTGCAGGTCGTCGTGACTCTCCTTACGAATGACCCCAGAGCTCCTCGCGAGTCCCTTGCGAAACTTGTACCTAGCTCCTGGTCGTTTCTCAACTACGAAGACGCCGAACTCGTTTGTCTCGCCCATCCCAGTCTCGAAGCCTAGCCTTTCGTTGATGTAGTGCACGGCCTCCTCCTGGGACGAGAACTGCAAGTTTCGGTCTCTGCAGAAGTCCCTCAGCTCACAGAACTCGCCCTCGACAAAGGCCTCCGAGAAGTCCTTCTTCTCTTGGACCGTCTGGACCTTCGCGTTCACCGCGTCGGTCATCTGGCACTCGTTCCTCCCTGATGCGCGATCCTCGCGCAACCTCTCGTGTCGAGCGTTCTCATCTGGATCTTTCCTCTTCTGGATGATATGTTGGGCAGTGGTGCCCTTGGCGTAGCACTTCTGCCGCGCGTGCAAGCAGTGGCCGCACTCCGTCCCCATGGGCGTCTTGATCTTAGTCGTGGCGCAGACCTCCGCCTTGGGCCAATAGAGGTAGGTCCCAGGCGCGCAATGCTGATCAAACCCGCGCGTGTTCTGCCCACACGTGTCGCACTCCCTGGGGCGCGACTGGAGGTTAGGGTGGTCGGCTCCGTCCTTCTGCTTCTTCGCCTCCCTGCTGTGCGCAGCCTGCTTCTTGGCGCCCCCCGCCGGACACTTCTTGCCCTTGGGCGGCATGGCCAGCGTGGTACTGTCAGTGCAGCTCACAGCACAGGCTCGAGTCTCGAGCGCAGAAGCGCCGGCGCCAGTGCCCTGTGCCCGCCCTCTGGGGCAGACGAGCACCAAGAGATCTCCAGCCAAAACTGGCTGCAGCAGGCTGGAGCTTGGAACAGGGGGAGTGGTATCGGCAGGAGCAGGGATCTCGGATGAGGGTGAGGAGTAAGGGCACGTGGATGGGACTAAAGTGCTCGTAGCCCGTTGCGGGGGGAATATGGAGAGGGCAAATGGCGTCCGCGGCCCATCGGACCAACGTCACCGGCCTGAACGGTCTTTGTGTCATTCCAGAAGCGTTTCCCGAATCATTGGTACCTGGCAATGGCATGGCAGGCCCCAAAGACATCTGAGACCCCACAACCGAGAATTCCCAGAACTTGGTTTCACACGCACGGCCTCTGGCGCGATCAAGAAGTGGTACAGCCGAAATGCAAATCGAGCGCAGGATCTGAGTTGCCTATAAGGGGCCCTCTTGTGTCCTCGGACCCCGCGATCTCATACAGACTGAGACTGAGAGGGGCTCGAGAGGGCCTCGTGGGCTCATGGACACCTCCACGCTCTACGGGGCCATGTTGAGCCCTCCCTGGTAAAGTGATGTGGCTTGAATTTTGGCCCCAACGATACCTTGGCCAAGTTAGACTGGGAACTCATAGAAACCCGCCAGAATCAAAGGTTTGAGTTACGTTGTTTGGGCATTCTTTCTGGTGGGCTAGTTAGCAGCCGTGTGCCCCAAACAGCTCTTCATGACAACCAACATGTGGCGCAATCTGGTAGATACAATCAATGTGAGGCAATGTGTTTGGTGCGCACCATTACAGGGCGATACAAAGCAATGCAAGGACATCCAGCCTCATGTGAAGGAAGGCAACGCAACGCAAAGCGGTTCGCATCGACGCAGAGTAATGCCCAGAACGCAATACGCAAGCTCCATGACTCAGGAGCCCAACGAGCTATTGCCACTATACACATTACAAACCCAACAGTCCCGTAATCCCTGCGAGCCGTAGGAGTCTCATAAGCCCGTCAACCCCTTCTAACCATCCACGACTTCCAACCCCTTTGCTAGACCAGAAGATCTGATACATCGTATATGACGCATACAACGTATACGCTCTAGAAACATTGTAAACCTCAGTAGCCCTCGAAACACTAGAGGCCCCAGTAGCAGTAGCCTCATAGTACTTCGAGAAACGATATGCCTTATGAGCCCTGCGAGCCCTAGCTACATTATCGGCCCGATAAGCCCAGTGAGCCCGAGGAGTTCTACAAGCGCGAATTCCGCCGAACTCTGTCTTCCGAGCTGGGGCTCGACGATCGTGGAACATACAAATGCGACCGGGGGGGCTGGGCAAGCGCGCGCACAGGCACGCGCCATCTTAATTATTTGGTTCGCCAGTCCGTTGTTCTATGACAGTGGATGTTAATATTATGAGCGGCGCTCCTGGGTAGTTATGTCAAGGGGTTTAGGGGGGGCGCTTGGCCACATAAGCCCCATGCGTCATGCCTGCGATATAAGTCATGCAAATCACATCAGCCCGATGAGCCCTGTAATCTCCATAAGGTCCTAAAGCCCTAGAGGTCGCATGAACGCAAAAGCCTTCAAAGCCTTATAAGTCTTAGAAGTCACATGAGCCCTAAAATCCCGATCAGCCTTACGAGCGGTGCATGCCCTCTACGACGTATATACCTTGTAAGCCTCACAAGCCCTCAAGGCCAACAAGCAGGATAAGCCAGATAAGTAAGTACCGTAGAACATGTATCAGCCCTTCAGGCCACTTGCGCCCTACAGCCAGTGTAAGCTTTCCCTACACGCATGATAAGCCGAATAAGCTCCGTGAGCCCCATGAGCCCTTGTGATCCCTACACGTCCTACCAGCCCTACAAGCTTCACGACCCCCACAAGCCCCATAGAGTCGATAAGACAAGTCGCCATGTTGGCCTCAAACATAAAAGCGATTACTCCACCCTGGCCGAGACGATATAGAAGTCGCCATTGCATTGGATGTTTGTTAAGTGCACAATTCAGAACTCTCAATGCCCTCGCGGCGGCTGCGCGCGCGCAGTGATCTGCACCCTTGCATGTCCCTCCATTGAATTTCGGCTTCTTCGCTGTTGAATACAAGTGCTTCCGTAATGGTGGCCGATTCGATCTCCCGCGTTGCGATGTGCACGCGTGCATCATGGGCGCTCCGGAACTCCCCATGCGCGCGCGTTGGGACGTCTGCGTTGCCCATATCACGGATATCGGAGTCTTTGCACAGCAATTGACGTGGGCCGCGAACAGCGATTGAGTCCAAGTCAAAACGCGCGTTGCCCTCACACATAGTTTCTAACGTAGACGAAACAACAGTTGCATTCCCGAGTTAGTGCCATTGCACACATGATTCCGACACAACAGCCATAGGGAAGTGCTCTCGTTCATCGTCGTGCCCACGTCACAACCATCGCGCAAATAATCCCGATGAGCCAAACATGGGAAAATGACATCGCCCATGCATCCTCTGCGCGCAGAAAGCCGACGAGGGCCAGAAGGCGAAAGCTGCACTTGCGAACTCGGAGCCGCGCACTGAACATGCGGAAGACAACCTGATTGCAGACTGGACGTTGGCCACCAAGTCGCAACCCACCAGAGTGGCAATCGGGTGGCCCCTTGGGCATAAGACGCGCGAAGACCGTCAGCTCACGCAATCGACCTCGGATGTTCGCCGTGCCAGGTGGTCCGCGCCGTGCCCTCTTCCGCTAGGCTGCCCACGACGCTGCGCGCATGTGGCGGCGCGCCGACCTGCTCTCGACCACTGCGCGCGCGCGTCTGCCAGGACATGCATGTATATCTATGTATAGCAACAGCGCGTCGCAGCCGATGCCTGAGATGCCCGATCATCCGAACAGTTACGGAACGAAGTAAAAAACGGGGGCCATGAAGGCATCGTCGTCTTCCCGCTGGAACCGCGAAACAGGTTCCACGACCGACCGCTGACGCCGCTCCCGAAGGTAGGATGGGCCCAGCTCCTTGCGCGCTAATGCGCAATCCCGACCACATCTTGAGCTCGGCGATGAGCGATGTCTCGCGCTCGCTCCAGAACAGCTGCGCACTGCGCCAGCGACCGTTCGACCTTCGCCTGGCTATGCGTTCAGCATCGCACTAGGAACGTCGATGCGCTCGCCGCAGTCCTGGCGACCACGCGATCAACAATCCCATGTCGAACTTACGCTGAAGGGGAGCTGGGCAAGCGGGAGGAACGAACTTCGACTGAAGCGCCCAGCCACCAGCCGCGAGCATGCGTAGCATCACACGCCCAGGACTGGCGACCATAATTGAACATGCTCCAGTGCCCACATTACATCGACCATGCGCCCTTCCCCGCGACCGCGCACCCATCGCAGGCAGCGCGCGCGCCGAGGTCATGATAATGCTCACCGCCACGCGCGGAGATGTCATCGAAGGCGAGCGTTCCGCCGCCTGCCGATGTGACCGCTAGCGCCCAGTGCTGCGCAATACTTCATGCATCGCGCATCACCCATGCATCACGCATCCATGATGCATCATGTGACGTGCACCATGCATGCATGCATGCATGCGCCATGTGTGCATACAAAAACACGTGCATTCAGGTACGATTCAGGTGTCATTCAGGTACATTCAGGTACCATTCAGGTATATTCAGGTGTATTCAGGTACCATTCAGGTGTATTCAGGTACATTCAGGTACCATTCAGGTGTATTCAGGTGTCATTCAGGTGCATTCAGGTGCCATTCAGGTGTATTCAGGTCCATTCAGGTGTATTCAGGTACATTCAGGTACCATTCAGGTGTATTCAGGTGTCTTGCATGCGCATAAGCATTGCAACTTGTACAGGTGTGGCAGGGGGGCATCGCGTTGAAACGCAGGCCCGCGCCATCAAACGCGCCTCGCGCAACGCTGGGCCCCGCGAGCGCGAGCGCGGCGCCGCAGCCCAGCCCCGCCGCATGCCGCCCTCCGCGACGGAGCCAGGAGCGCGCGACACGTCTCGACGCCTCAGCGCGCGCCGCGCCCCGACGAGTGCGCGCGCATGGCGGCGGCGCCGAGAGGCGCGTCCATGGGCCCATGGCGGGCGGGATTCGGCGCGCACGACGGTGGGTGGGGGCGGCGCGACATCGGGCAGCGTGTCCGCTGAATCCGTGCTAGTTGGGTGTCGCCAGCGTTGGGTGTCACGCGGGCGGCCGTTTGGGCTGGCCCTTGGGCAAGCGCTCGGGCCAGGCCGTTAGTACTGTTTCTAATATACCCAGCAGGAGCCGGCCTGTTTTCCCGCAAACTCATGACCCTCGACGGGGCGTGGCATTGGGCCAAATCCACGCCGCCCTGGCTCCGCCCGCCTGGCTGCGCTCGGCAAGAGCGCGAAGTGGCCCCGCGCGGGCTGCTGCCCCTGCACTTTCATTTGCCACGCGAAACTTGGCAAGGCCGCCATGGCCCACGATCTCGCGGGCGCCGCCCGCCGCGCAGGTCACCCGACATCAGCTTGGTGGGGCCACTTTGGTTGTCAGACCAACATGGCACCTTTTCCATTGTGGACAATGCAGAACTCTCAGCGCGCGCACGCGCGCCGCGGGTAACCATGGTCACCCGCGCGCCCACTCGCGCGCGGAGGATTCTGCAGTGTCCAGGTCAGGGAAACCACAGGGAAAACGCATGTTAGCTTGGAAATCCAATCGATCACCGTTAAGGGTTCACTTTAGTTTCCAGGCCAACATGGCGACCTTTACACATTGTGGGCAATAGGAAATCTCCCGAGCGAGCGGCGAGCGCGGCGGGTGACCCACCCGCCGCGCGGGTCACCCGAAATCCGCTTGGTGACCGTAAAGGGCTCACTTTAGTTCCCAGGCCAACATGGCAACTTTGCATTGTGGACAATGCGGAACTCTCCACGCGCGCACGCGCGCGCGCGCGTGACCATGGTCACCCGCGCGGCCACTCGCGCGTGGAGCGCGCTACATCGCCTGACTCAGAAATGTTAGGAAAACGCAACAAGCGCATGTTAACTTGGGAATCCCATTGATCACCGTTAAGGGTTC